TCAGCTGAACATTTCTTTTTTTAGCGCAATTCTGAAACATTTAAATCATCAAAACATCTAAACAGTCGTGGTCAAGTTGTAAACAACAAAAAAATCATTTGGGTGGTCAGTAATTGCGTTCGATTGCACGCCATACTTCATTTTTTTAGAACTTAATTCCCGACGGTCAAAATGTCCGATTACTTTGCAAATTGATCAGACAATCTGAGGTTTTAGCAGGACAATGTCCGACCGTTAAATTGAGCCCTGAAACTGTAGAGCTAAACTTAAGACGTAGATAATGGGATAGAACAGGCAAACAGACAAATGTATATATATATATATATATATATATATATATATATATATATATATATATATATATATATATATATATATATATATATATATATATATATATATATATATATATATATATATATATATTTCTTTTAGTGTTACTATCCTCTCTCTCAACCGTTCCAATTAACAAAACTTAACACATATGCCAAGTAAAAATTTGAAACTTTTATATTTTGGTAAAACATTTTTTCACAAAACTAAGACTAATGATAAAGTAATTTTTGGCAACAAAAAAAAAATAATAAAAAATAAATAATAATTTGGTAATTATAGTTTCAATATATAATACATTTGAATGTAATTTTATAAGTTTTTTTTTTTTTTAACGGAGGATGTTGTTGATTATATTTTTCAAAAAATCTTTAAAATTTTATTTTAAGTATCATGTAATAAGCACTTATTTTTAGTTTTAATAATTCTATAAATAAATATTTTTATTAGCTTTTATCTATGCTTTATATCAACTAATAGTTTGGTTTTTTCTTGGTACAATTTTTATCATCTTTTAATGACTTGAATATTTGTCATGTACAATTTTAATCCCTTATATAACTTTTAAGTATTCGTCATGTATAATTTTAAATTGCTTTTGTTCTTTTTAATTAATCTTTTAAATATGTATGTAAGTTTGATATATTCCTGGAACTAATTAAATCACTTTTCACGTATTCTTTTCAGCGCAATAACTAAAGTAGAAAACAAATATATTATATACTAATAACTAATTGCTTTTATACTTTTATTAAAAATAAAATAAAAAAGTGTAAAATTTTTTTGACATATTAAGTAATAAATTAAAGGGTGCAAAATCATAAAAATTTCAGTACAAAACCCATGTGACTTTTTATTATATAACTTTTAGGATTTATAAAAGCATACTTTTTTAGTTCATTTTTATCAAAATAAATTTTAATTTTTTTTTTATATACAACTTTTATTAATTTTTTAACAACTGATTAGAAAAGATGAACAAAGTGAAAAAACTAGAAACCCATTTGACTTTTAAAGTGTTATCTTTATATTCAAATTTTAAACATTGCTGAACTTATTAAAATAATGTAAATAGAATATTTTTAAAATAAAGTTTTTTTGACAAGCAACCCAGACAGATCATCATAATTTATATTAACAGGCAATTTACTGTCCCTGACCCAATTTACTGTCCCTGACCCAATTATTTGCTTGTGTTGCTAAAAATATGAGACTTTAAAGCCAACCTTTTAACTTAGATTTTAATGTTTCTTTATAATATTGCCACACTTAATTAACCTCTTATAGACATTGCTGTATATCTTCTGAATTTGATTTGCAACTAATTTGTTCTAAAAATAGTATTGCTTTATAAATTCAAAATAACTAGTTTCAAAACTGTGATTTTAAAAATTAAAACATCAGATCATTCACTTAAATTCTGCAATACTACTTAAGATTCAACCTTCTAATCACACTTCTAACAACTAAAACTTGAGCAACTTATGTAATTATCTGAATTGGTTTCAAGTTAAGCCTTAATCTACTCTGCGGTTTTCTCCTTGTATTTTCAATTAAATAATTTTTTCATCTTTTTTACCAGAACAACTCTCATGCAAAAAGAGCGCTATTTATCAAATATTGTCGATAAAAAAAGACAAGTCAAACATGAGAAATTTCATCTTTCATACAAGGGGTTCGATCATATTACAACACCCAAGGATAAGCAAGAACTCTCGAATCTAATGACTACACTTTTCCTGACATCCCAAAAAACCAGGTTAATTTATTGTAAGACATCACTCCAGATTTTGTTGCTACATTTATTTAGATGCATAAGTTACTTGAACGCTTCTACAGTTTATAATCAGAGTCATAACCTTCCAATGTTTTCTAGAATTCAATACTCTCTAAACTATTTTAACAAGTGATTAACTTTTGTTTTTCTACCTGTTAGAAAAACTTTGATAAAAATTGGCACCACCTTCTAATTTCTTAAAACTCTAGAAATTTTTCTTTAAACTATTGGATTTTGTGAATTATCATTAAATCAGTCATCTTACTATTATTAGTAAAATCTTCAATTACTTTAAGTCTTCAATTACCTTGAGTCTTCAATTAAAAAACTTTTAATATATAAGTCCAACAACAATCAGACAATTAATATAGATTTCAATCCTCTACTTCTGATTTGTGAATTGTATTAACAGAAAGGTTCTACCATGCCTTACATGGAAGCAGTGAGGCAATAACCAATGCGCTTAAAATTAAAAATATTTCAAATTATTTTGACATGCTGGTCTTCTCCTTTAGCTGGAATTGTATAATCTATCAGGGAAAATTTTTAAAATTATTAAATTATACATTTATATAACTTATATGAATTATACATTTATCTAACTTGTATTTATTTAATAACAGTAGAGTTCTCTCTGAAGTATCACATGGTTTTTTATTTGGTCCCATTTTCTTGTCCATATTAATCTTGCTGATAATTTTACCTACGTGGCTATTTTATATATTTGCTAACAATATACCTATATATTACAGCCTCGATAATTAGTAAGCATTGTAAATGTACTTAAATCTGCTCTAGCTGGTGATCTTGAGACTGTTCATGGTTGTGTGAATGCGTCTTCTTTTCTACAAACACAATCATGGCACGTTAAAGCCAAATATCTTCTTTAGATCTAGCAACCAAACACAATCTTGCATGGCTCATCATTCACCAGTCACATCCTTTTACAGTAACTGTTTTTTTGTGCTAAAAATACTTCTATTTATCTAGATATTTATTCAAACATTATTGTATTGAAATTATCTCCCCTTTTAATATTTTCAATCAAAAAAAATTATAAAACAGGAGCTAAAATCTTTTTGAAATAAACAGAGAAGCAATTAAAAGAACAAAAAACCATTGTGAAATTTAGCATTATTAGTCCATAACGAGTTCTTCAAAAAACCTGTGTATGTATGTATGTATGTATGTATGTATGTATGTATGTATGTAAATACGTATGTATGTATGTATGTATGTATGTATGTATGTATGTATGTATGTATGTATGTACGTATGTACGTATGTATGTATGTATGTATGTATGTATGTATGTATGTATGTATGTATGTATGTATGTATAAAAGTATGCATGTATGTATTATGGATGGATGGATATACGTATGTATATATGTATGTACAAGGTTTAAAATAAATTCAGGACATTAGCACCTCCCTGTTTTTGAAACCTGTCTGAGGGGGGGGGGGGGGGAATAACTGCTATTCTGTTTTTTGTTTTTTTTGTTTGACAAAATCAACAATGGTTGCTTGCCCTGTTGCAGTGGGTCTAAAAATGGTATGAGGGGCAGTGATGTCCAACACTTATTTTAGCCTGGGTATAAAAATTTCATACATACATATATATTAGAGACTATTCCAGACCCTTTTAAAATGTGTTAAATGTTTTTGGCAAATATTGTTTGTTTTTTTGCAAAAAAAAACCTATATACAGCAATGTTTCTACAAAATTTCTTTATGACAGGTGCCAGCAGGGGAGGGAGGGGGAACCACTGCCGAAATTATTTTCCTAGAATAGCCACTGCATATATATATATATATATATATATATATATATATATATATATATATATATATATATATATATATATATATATATATATATATATATATATACACAAACACATCTTTCATTTATTAGAGTTAAATTCCTCTAGTTTGCATAAACTGATATCAGCTTCAGTCTTGTGATAAGTGTAAAAACATTCATCAATCGTGATGCAGAAGAATATATTAATGATATAATGATGTTGAAAAGTTGAAAAATATTAAGACCAAGAAAAAATTTATTATTGATATCCTTGATTAACCTAAATTGAAATTACTTTAATTATTACTAAATTAATTAATTTAGGTTTTCATTATTAAAATATTTATTAAAATATTAAACATAAACAATACGGTGTCCCAAAAAACAACATTTTTGAAAATAATCTGCTCTCACCCCCTAAATGTGTTCTATCTAATACAAAAACACTAGGTTTAAATTTTTTTTGAATAATAAATATTTTAAGGGGTTCCTCAAGACCCTCAAATATTGGGTCCCTAATATTTTCGAAAAAAAAGTTTTTCAAAAATATGTCAACCTGGTACTCAAATGAAGCGAAATTATATAAATATTTTAAAAATAATATTCATTTCGGAATATTTTTAACTTATTTATCAAAATTATCATAAAAAAACATTAGAAATTCATTTTTTTCATTTTTTCTTAAAAAACGCAATTTTTTATGTAATAAAACCAAAAATAACAATTTTGTTTCAAAATGAATATTATTTTTAAAATTTTTATATAATTTCGTTTCATTTGAGTACCAGGTTGACATATTTTTGAAAAACTTTTTTTTCAAAAATATTAGGGACCAATTAAATATTCGAGGGTCTTGAGGGGCCCTTTAAAATTTTTTTTATTCAAAAAAAATTTAAACCTAGTGTTTTTGCATTAGATATAACACATTTAGGGGGTGAGAGCAGATTATTTTCAAAAATGTTGTTTTTTGGGACACCCTAATTAACAGTAATAATACACTTTTTAATAAATAATAAAATTATGAAATACTAAAATTTTAAACAATTATACTACATAATTTTCAAAATAAAAGTCGGATCTTACTTGAAACACTCCAACACAATCACCAACCACACCTATTACTCCAGCCTAAATGATTAATACAAGTCTAACCAGATTAATGCAAGTAACTAATATTAGTAAAAGAACATATTAACATAAGTAAAAAAAAAACAATAAAAAAAGAAAACCAGTAAAAATAGCTAAGCAAAATCAAAACTAGCATCTAAAGCAATACCTCTTCATATGCTTCTCTAATAGCAGCTTGAATTGGATTTTCTCCAGGGTCTATGCCACCAGCAGGAACAACCCAAAGAGAATCATTGCTTGAGCTGGATACCAGTAATATCTATATGAATATATATATATATATATATATATATATATATATATATATATATATATATATATATATATATATATATATATATATATATATATATATAGTTATGTTTTTTAAAATTTATTTTAAAAAATAAACTTTTTTATTAATAATACGAAAGGATATTAAATGATATATTTTTACATTTAAAGTTTTGAAAAACGATGTTCAGTTAAAGCACAATTTAATTTTGAATTTTTGTAACATAAGTTAAAACTACATGCATTTACTAAAGTTCTAGCGCTTTTTCGTTAACAAAATGAATAACATCATTAAGTAAACTTATTTTGTCACATTGATTAGGAGAATAAAGAAAATTAAAAGTTTTTAAATGTTAATTGAAATAATTTATATTATTGCTTTTCTATATGTTTATGTATTCTTATTTTAGTTGACATACACATAAATACACATAAATAAATAAAAATAAGAATTATATAAATATTTGTATTTAGACATTAAAAAAAAAAAAGATTTGTTTGCTTTTATCCTAATATAAAAAAAAATCAGTTAAAATATTTTTTATTTTTGTTTTAGTAAAACAATTTAATAAATACAATTATGGGTCATCCATAAAGCAGGTCACCCTATATTTGTTAATTCTTAGCCCCTTTCTTCCTGTCACAAGCCATCACATATAGCAGAACCCCTCTCCTAAATTGTGATGGCAGATTTTTTGTCAAAATTATTTTAAAAGATTTAAATTAAAATATTTTGCAGCATTTTAAAAATTCAACCTAATGAAAATAAGGTATGCATAAAGGTAAGGAGTGTAAGTAAAAACTAGACAAACCAAAGATGTTCTTATTTAAATGACTCAAATAAGTAATAATAAAGTTGTAATACCAAGCCTTCCCAGGAAAGGCGTGCAGTTTTTCGTCTTGTAGAACCACGCATGAGTATTTTATTTTAGACAACTTGGTTACGGTTGTTTGCAAGTTTTTTTATATGCATTGCTGACAAAAGTTTTAAAAACAAAATAGGAATTTAAAATAAACCAAAATAGAAAATAATAATAAGAATAAATTAAATAATTTGTGTACTGTTTTTATTTTTGTTTCTTCATAGTGGTTATTAATTTTGGCAACAAAATTCGGTAAGTCAAAGCAAAAAAAAAAAAGTTTTAAACATTAAAAAGAATGATTTTCCTATATTTTGTTTTTTTTTAAAAGGGGAAAGTGAAAATATAAATTGTCATCTGTTTGTAAAATATATTTGTAGAATTTTAATGTAACAAGTATATATCAAGGGTAAATCAAGCGATCGCAATTTGCAAACACTTGAAAAATATCTGATCTTTAAATTTTTAGTTTATGCAAAGCTGTGTACTTTGTTTTCAAGGAGCAAACTATTATAATTTTGTTAGCGAGAAAAATATAAAAACAAAATAAACTTACGATTACAAAAATAATAATACTCTCGTCACAAACTGCATTATAAAAGTAATAAAAAAATAATAGTGTTATTACATTTATAAAGCACTTATTACTTTTAAAGATAATTCTTTCTTCAAACAACATTATTATTTCCAAAGAATAATTAAAGCAGAAAAGCATTTAGAAAAAATAAAGCGGATATTCAAATATAAAAAGCTTGAGGAATTTTTACAAATCACTTAAACTTTAAAAAAATACACTTAATAAAAAGTTAAGCATTATGAAAAACGTCACTAATAGTCCGTATAAAGGTCTTGTTTAATTTTAAAATCAACCAATAAAAATTTTTATTGGTTGATTTTAAAATATTTTGAAAAAAAAATTCTTCTAAAATATGTCAACCTGGTACTCAAAAGAAGCGAAATTATATTAAAAATTTTAAAATATTATTTAATTTACATAAAATAGATGTTAAAAAAAACTATTTACAAAAAATTTGGAAATTATGACTTTTTTTATTTTCAGCTTAAAAAACAATAGTTTTTAGGCAACAACGTATAAAAAAATTATTTTTGTAAACAAATTAATAATATTTTTTAATTTTTAATATAATTTCGCTTCTTTTGAGTACCAGGTTGACATATTTTAGAAGAACTTTTTTTTTCAAAATATTAGGGACCAGTCAAATGTTTAAGGGTCAGGGGCTACCTCAAAAAAAAATTTTTTATTCAAAAAAATTGTAAACCAAGTGATTTTGTATTATATATATATATATATATATATATAT